AAATATAAATATAACTGTGTACGGTAATAGTAAAAACTGCTCTTTATTTGCATTTCATTTTTAGTTATTAGTTGAAGGGATAGGTGATCTGTGGGGACACATTAATGGAAGTCTTCCATACCCTGATCAAGAGAAAGACAAGGAAAAGTATTTTGCGTGGAAGATCAAGGATTCTCTGGTTATGGCATGGATCATTGAATCTGTTGATGCCTAAATTGTTCTTAATCTCAGATCTTACAAGTCGGCTCATTTTATGTGGTAGTACTTAAAAAATGGTTTACACTCAAAGCAACAATACTCGGCGACTTCAGTTGGAGTTTGAACTAGCAAATTTTTCTCAAGACTCTCGCTCCATTGAAGAATATTATTTCAGGTTTTTTGCCTTTTGGAGTGAATACACTGACATTATGTATGCTTTGGTTTCACTTGACAGTTTAGAGTCTCTCCAAGCTGTGGATGAAGTCACCAAGAGGGAACAACTTCTCATGAATTTGTGAACAGAATTTGAATCTATCAAGTCCTGTCTAATGAATTGCAAATCTATTCCAATGCTGGATAGCTGTTTGGGTGAGCTTATGAGGGAAGAATAGCGTCTTATCACTCTTACCTCTTTGGAATAGTAGCAAAATCAAGTGCACGTTGCTTATTTGGCTCAAGGAAAAATTTAAATATCGAGTTTATGTTGCTTATGTGGCTCACGGAAAAATTTAAATATCAGAATATGACTGGTGTGCAACATTGTAGCTATGAGGGATTTGGTCTCATGGCTCTTCAATGTCCCATAAAAGCTTGCAACTATTGCAAAAAACTTGGACATGTCATTAAGGAGTATCCTATTCGTCCTCCACGTAAATCAGGAGCAAGTTATGTTGCCACTTTCGCCCATGGTTTTGCATCGCCTCCTACTCCTGCTCAAATTTTGGTCTCTCCCATTCTCACTCAAAACTCCATCACCCCTAAGATGATTCGACAAATGGGTATATTTGCTTAGATATCTCGCGCAAACCATCAACTGCTCCTTCTTCTTGGCTGTTACACTCGGGTGCCTCTAATCATATTACAAGGAGTTGAGAGAATGATTATTTGAATGATTAAATAAATCTAAAAATGATCCTCTTTAAATAGAAGAGAATTACAACAATTATGGGCAATTTAATCCCAACAAATCAGTAACTAATCCTATAGAATTATGGATTTGAATTTAACATAAATACAACATGATTCTACAATTAGTAAATAATTTTAAACCAGTAATATACAATATATTTCAACACTCGCCTCAATCTGGTGAATAAATATTAATCATTCCCAGCTTGATTGTGGAATCTTCAAAACTTGGTCTTAGTAATCCTTTACTAAAGATATCAGCAACCTGTTGAGATGTTGGGACATAGATCATGCAAGTGACTCCTCCTTCATGCTTGGTACATCATGATGAATTAAATTATGTGCAATACTTACTGTAGCTTGGTTCCACCTAACACTTTTAACTCTCTTAGAAGCCGATTGATCTATATTAGCTCACATGTTCCTTGAGCTAATGCTTGAGCTAATGCACGGAATTCAGCTTCAACACTACTTGAAGCTACTATGTTTTGTTTCTTACTCCTTCAAGTCACCAAATTTCCCTAAACCATAGAGTGCAATAACCTAATGTTGATTTGCGATCTTCAATTGAACCTTCCCAATCTGCATCTGTGAATGCTTTACATTGCTCATTTTTCCCAAAAAGTAAACCTTTCCTACGTGTCATTCTCAAGTACCTCAAGTCCTGTAAACCACTTCAAGATGAACATCAAATGGAGAGTGCATGAATTGACTAACAGCACTCAGCAAATGCAATATCAAGCATAGTGTGATAGATAGATTAGTTTTCCCACTAATCTTTGTTACCGAGCTCGATCAACTAGATCTCCCACATCTTCATTTTTTTCTTTCCATTTACATCGATGGGCGTCTCTGCAGGCTTGCTTCCCAACATTCTTGTTTCTTTGAGAAGATCTAACATATATTTCCATTGAGAGATGGAAATTCCTCGTTTTGTTCGGGCTACATCCATACCTAGAAAGTATCTTATTTGTCCTAGGTTTTTTACTTCAAATTTCTTTGCAAGAAACTTCTTCAATCTCTCTTGTTCTTGATAACCATCTCCTGTTAGAATGATGTCATCAACATAGACGATTAAAATTTCAATCCGAAGTATGTTTGTAAAAGAGATTGTGATCTGATTGTCCCTGAGTGTATCCATTACTTTTAATTAACTTTGTGAATTGCTCAAACCAAGGTCTTGGTAGTCGTTTCAAACCATAAAGGGACTTCTTCAACCTAGATGTTATATTTTTTCCATAACCTTCTTCAAAACCCAGTGGTAGGTCCATAAATACCTCTTCCTCTAAGACTCCATTGAGGAAGGCATTTTTTACATCCATATGATGAAGAGGCCTGTCAAGATTAACTGCAAGAGATAGAAAAACTTTGATTGAGTTGAGCTTTGCCACTGGTGCAAAAGTTTCGGTATAGTCTACTCCATGAGTCTAAGTAAACCCTTTTGCAACCAGCCTTGACTTATGTCTTTCAACTGTCCCATCTGAATTGTATTTGATGGTAAAGACCCCGCAGGACCCTTTGCTTTTGGTAATTCCACCACTTCCAAAGTTCCATTTTTTTTTTTTTAGGCCTGCATTTCTTCAAGGACTGCTTTTTTTTTTTCCTACTCAGGTACCTCGAGAGCTTCATGAATATCTCTTGGCAACTTGATAGCTGATATTTTTTCTGTGAGGGCTCGAAAACTCGAGGACAGATGACCATAAGATATAAAGTTTGCTAAAGGATGTTGAGTGCATGTTCTAGTACCTTTCCAAAGAGCAATAGGCGAGTCCAAGTCATGTGTCTCTACATCAAATGACTGAGTGTTTACCTCTGGTTCAGATTCTTGATAGTGATCTTGGGGTGCAATGGCCTGTACATTATGAGGTATAGTTGCTCTTCGAGTGTAAACACGCAACTCATATTTCTTTTGCTCAAGTGAATCTCTCCTTATTTCCAAATTATTAGGTTGAGGTCTAATAGGACTAGGTACAGATTGAATGGGAAGTGGTTGATTGGATTCGGCAGAATCGACAGGCTGGATAGGTATAGGAAGTATCAAATTTGGCTCCGTGAAACTTGACTTAGTGAACTCGGTGGATTGTAAATTAGAAGGTAGTGAAGTTGTCATATCCCAAAGTTGCTCTTTATTCGTATTCTCCCCTGAAGGGCAGGTTTGGGATAGTAGGATTGGTCCTCAAAGAATGTTACATCAAAAGACACATATTTTTTTTTTTTTTTTTTTCATCCCAACTTATAATTTCTCTCAGAATTTTCTTTGCTCAATGGAAAAACCTTATAGGAAAACCACCTATTTATCTTCAAGCTTGCTATTTTCTGGGGAAGTGCAGTGTGTGGGCCGTTGTGACTAATTTTGAGAGTGACAACTCTAGAATTCTTAGAGAATTTATATTAGATTCGTGGTCACAAGACTTATGGGGGTGGTATTGTGGTTCATTTCATATATACACTTAAGTTAGCAACTTGCTTGTTCTTTATGCTTGCATACTGTAATATAAAATTTAAAAATAAATATCTTGAGGTTTCCTTTGGATTTTTGGCTTTCTTTTCTTCGGTTATAAGAGTGTTCGAGTTTTTATAAGTATTATAAAATGGATTTGCTTGAGCAACCAAATCAAGGCTGTGTGCCCTTTATTAGAGGAAGTTTATTATTTATAGCTAATTAGTTACTAGTTTCCTTGTAAATAATAGCTAGTTTCCTTATATTCTTAATTAGCATTGTACTATAGAGGAAAAGTAATACACACAAAACGGATCATTCTGCAAAAAGTGATATGGTATCAAAGTCCTAAATTGTCTTCTTAGTGCATGCTCGATTCTCCGTCGTTCGTAGCCTTCGTGTTTCCAACGGCATCATCTGTGGTCGAAAAATCAATCTATGGCCAGTTCTTCGTTTCAGACGTCATCTGTGGTCGGTGGCGTCAATTATAGCCAAATCTCCATTCGGTGGCATCAGCATCACCTTTGGATTTAGGCACGTGGGTTTTTGATTTTCAACGCCCGCGGTTTGTATTTTCACTTCCCATTGTTGGTGAGTCTCTTCCTTTCTGTTCCCATCATCCGACTGTACTGCAATTATCGAGTTCTTCAAGCAGCCGACTATTTATTTCATTCGTCGACATTTGAGCTATGTCTTTCAGTCGATTATGGTTTGGGCTGTTGTGTTGGGTGTTAAGCTGTTAAATTAATTGGATGATTGTTGGGCTTTATTATGCTCGATTTTTCTGAAATATAGGATACATGGACATGGCTAAAAAAAAGTCCAAATTTCGAACACCAGTAGTGGGTACGTCTTTCAAAATTTAATTTTTTACTAATTCAAGATGTCATTTTGAATAAACCAAAATCAATTATTCACAAATAATGAAATATTGAATAAGGAGTTAAGATGAATAAATAGAATTTTGGATTTAGTTTTCAGTTATGGACATTACTAAATGTTATATAAAATATCATATAATGGATTTGATTGCAATTTGGAATTAGTGGAGATCTCAATAGCACTATATGGAACTCATTTTCATTTTATACAAACAAAACCCTAAACCACTGATACAGAGAAGGAAAGAAGACAAAGAAGAAAATGGAAAGAGAAAAGAAAGAAGAAGAAAAAAGAAAGGAAAACTTAGCGCTACTATCTTTTCTCCACCCTCTTGGTGGCAACGCTAGGTGTATAGAGAGCGAAAATAGGAAAGAAGAAAAAGAAAGAAGAAGAAACAAAAACGACGAAGTGTTCAATTGAAACTTGGAGGATCCGACACATATTTCATACCCATAATCATGTCGTGTCTGACACGAATACTCTAACTATTTCAAAGAATCCGAGCATCAAAGGTTAGGCTTGGGTTCTTGTTGGAGTGTTGATTGGTTGGTTATTTGTTGGTGGGCTTGCAGTATTCTGTTGGGTTGGGTTAATTTTGTTGAGTTTAGTTATTTGTTGGTTGGGCTTGGAGTATTCTATTGAGCCGAGATAATTTTTTATGAGTAGAATTATTTATTTGGATTGTGATTAATTTATTTTTGCAGACCTTGACAAGATTTCATCATGTCAATTGAGAAGGCTGACTCTGTATTTGTTTTACCTATGGATGGGATCATCGAATTGACGAGCCATGCTGTTATCGTGGCATTCTCCGATTTCCATTTTTGGAGCAGTCTCTGTCGGTTTCCTGGTTTCACCGGTGAGATAACCCAATTTTCCTTTGCCTTCAACTATTAGTTTGATCGATTGGGCCCACTCTCGAAAATTCCTTCCGTTCAATTTTTCGACAGTGAGTTGAAAGGAAGAATTTTCAAGGTTATTGGAGCCCATGGAAGAGACTGCCTCCGTCTCGGTTTGGAACACTTTTCCAGTCGATTCTTTGCTGTTTTCTGTCATGGAGTGCTAGGATAATTGACGCCTAGCTCTGATACCATGTAGAAGCTGACGAATCACCCAATAATTTTTGTGTGTCTTATTTTTATTTCATCCCTAACATATTTATCCAACCACATACACATAAATATGGAAATACAATTTCCTAATCTAAGGAAAGCAAATATCTTTACCTATCTAAGGAAATAACTATATAAAGTACATCAATCATGCTAAATTAATTACTAATTAACCGGTTTTCTACAAGAGGACTAACGGTATTGGTCATGTGATTAAAGGCTCCTGAGTCAAAGAACCATGACTTAGAAGATGCTGTAAGACCTGAGAGTCCAAAAGCAGAGAAGTCAGAATTGATCATTTGTTGTACCATTTCAGGGGTGAGGGTAGATGCAGAAGCAGGATTAGGAACAACGTGTGAGGCAGTAGGCAATGTTGTAGAGCCAGAGACACTAGTGGAGGCATGATAGATAGCGGTATGCTTCTTTTCAGGTCGAATAGGACAAACAAAGATGTGATGGCCTGGCTTCTTGCAGTAATGACATGTTTCTTAGGACAATCCTAAGCAATGTGACCAAAACCTCTGCAGTTGTGGCACTGGACAGCTCACATGTCTCAACCTTTATTCCTCCCTTGTGCTACATAAGCCACAGTAACAGGACCACTAATAGTATCCCTATGTTCCATGGTAGCCTGGGTAACTATACGTTGCTCCTCACGAAGAAGTTCACCCAAACAAGTATTCAGATATGGTACAAGATGACAATTCATCATATTAGATCGTGCAGCCTCAAAATCGAGATGTAACTTCATAAAGAATTGATCCCTCTTGCTTGTCCCATGCACTGTTTGAACAGCAAATAGAGCTACAGCGAAAACATTTGCATAAACAATATCTAAATATTCAGCCCAAAGATTTTGAAAACCTAAAAAATATTCTTCAATTGATAAGACTTTCCTGTGTAAAATTAGCCATCTCATACTCCAATTGAAAACGTCGAGCTGTATTGTCCTGTTTGTACACCTTACTAAGATAAGCCCACATATCAACAGCAATTTTGTAAGGCCTCAGATTGAGTATGAGGTGAGACTCAACTGAACTAAGGATCCAGGTCACGATCCGAGCATCCTTGATTTCCCACTTCAACAAAGCTTCGACATCTTTTGGAACGGGATCACTTCTATCAAGATGACCCCATAACTCTTTTCTTTTGAAAAATAATTGAAATTGGATCTCCCAAGCCGAGTAATTTTTCCCATTAAAACAAATCAGGAATGAGTGTAACTTGTTAGATGACATGATGGAATAAAATATTTAACCCAATAAAGAGACCTACACCACAAATCACACTACAAACCGCAAAGCCCAGCAATGGAACAAAAAATTAACTAAGAGGTGGCCCAAAATTAAATAACTAAGCAGAGGCCCAAATGATTAAATCACTAACCAAAGACAGAGAAGCTACCGACCGAAGGCCACAATACACACCCAAGAACCAAAGATCGAACGTCCAAACTGCTGAACCGGAGAAGACGGTATGTATCCAGCAATCGAAGGTAGAACCAGACCAAGATTTCGAAAGAGACCACTCACCGGAATTGAAAAGCTGTAGAAGAAGACCGAAAATCAAACCGGAGCTGGAAAGACATCGAAGAAGGGCCGAGAATCACACATCCAACACACGGAACAGCCCTAACGCCAAAAGAGGAATGTCAGAAGTTGGAGCCCTTGCTTCGATACCATGTCAAAAAGGCCAAATAATTGAGAGAATTTCTGTAGAAACGTGTTCTTCCATTGTTGCCTCTATTGTAAATATACAAGGAAAATAAATAAACATAATTCCTAAAAATCAGCTTTCTTCCCAAATATAAATATAACTGTGTACGGTAATAGTAAAAACTGCTCTTTATTTGCATTTCATTTTTAGTTATTAGTTGAAGGGATAGGTGATCTGTGGGGACACATTAATGGAAGTCTTCCATACCCTGATCAAGAGAAAGACAAGGAAAAGTATTTTGCGTGGAAGATCAAGGATTCTCTGGTTATGGCATGGATCATTGAATCTGTTGATGCCTAAATTGTTCTTAATCTCAGATCTTACAAGTCGGCTCATTTTATGTGGTAGTACTTAAAAAATGGTTTACACTCAAAGCAACAATACTCGGCGACTTCAGTTGGAGTTTGAACTAGCAAATTTTTCTCAAGACTCTCGCTCCATTGAAGAATATTATTTCAGGTTTTTTGCCTTTTGGAGTGAATACACTGACATTATGTATGCTTTGGTTTCACTTGACAGTTTAGAGTCTCTCCAAGCTGTGGATGAAGTCACCAAGAGGGAACAACTTCTCATGAATTTGTGAACAGAATTTGAATCTATCAAGTCCTGTCTAATGAATTGCAAATCTATTCCAATGCTGGATAGCTGTTTGGGTGAGCTTATGAGGGAAGAATAGCGTCTTATCACTCTTACCTCTTTGGAATAGTAGCAAAATCAAGTGCACGTTGCTTATTTGGCTCAAGGAAAAATTTAAATATCGAGTTTATGTTGCTTATGTGGCTCACGGAAAAATTTAAATATCAGAATATGACTGGTGTGCAACATTGTAGCTATGAGGGATTTGGTCTCATGGCTCTTCAATGTCCCATAAAAGCTTGCAACTATTGCAAAAAACTTGGACATGTCATTAAGGAGTATCCTATTCGTCCTCCACGTAAATCAGGAGCAAGTTATGTTGCCACTTTCGCCCATGGTTTTGCATCGCCTCCTACTCCTGCTCAAGTTTTGGTCTCTCCCATTCTCACTCAAAACTCCATCACCCCTAAGATGATTCGACAAATGGGTATATTTGCTTAGATATCTCGCGCAAACCATCAACTGCTCCTTCTTCTTGGCTGTTACACTCGGGTGCCTCTAATCATATTACAAGGAGTTGAGAGAATGATTATTTGAATGATTAAATAAATCTAAAAATGATCCTCTTTAAATAGAAGAGAATTACAACAATTATGGGCAATTTAATCCCAACAAATCAGTAACTAATCCTATAGAATTATGGATTTGAATTTAACATAAATACAACATGATTCTACAATTAGTAAATAATTTTAAACCAGTAATATACAATATATTTCAACACTCGCCTCAATCTGGTGAATAAATATTAATCATTCCCAGCTTGATTGTGGAATCTTCAAAACTTGGTCTTAGTAATCCTTTACTAAAGATATCAGCAACCTGTTGAGATGTTGGGACATAGATCATGCAAGTGACTCCTCCTTCATGCTTGGTACATCATGATGAATTAAATTATGTGCAATACTTACTGTAGCTTGGTTCCACCTAACACTTTTAACTCTCTTAGAAGCCGATTGATCTATATTAGCTCACATGTTCCTTGAGCTAATGCTTGAGCTAATGCACGGAATTCAGCTTCAACACTACTTGAAGCTACTATGTTTTGTTTCTTACTCCTTCAAGTCACCAAATTTCCCTAAACCATAGAGTGCAATAACCTAATGTTGATTTGCGATCTTCAATTGAACCTTCCCAATCTGCATCTGTGAATGCTTTACATTGCTCATTTTTCCCAAAAAGTAAACCTTTCCTACGTGTCATTCTCAAGTACCTCAAGTCCTGTAAACCACTTCAAGATGAACATCAAATGGAGAGTGCATGAATTGACTAACAGCACTCAGCAAATGCAATATCAAGCATAGTGTGATAGATAGATTAGTTTTCCCACTAATCTTTGTTACCGAGCTCGATCAACTAGATCTCCCACATCTTCATTTTTTTCTTTCCATTTACATCGATGGGCGTCTCTGCAGGCTTGCTTCCCAACATTCTTGTTTCTTTGAGAAGATCTAACATATATTTCCATTGAGAGATGGAAATTCCTCGTTTTGTTCGGGCTACATCCATACCTAGAAAGTATCTTATTTGTCCTAGGTTTTTTACTTCAAATTTCTTTGCAAGAAACTTCTTCAATCTCTCTTGTTCTTGATAACCATCTCCTGTTAGAATGATGTCATCAACATAGACGATTAAAATTTCAATCCGAAGTATGTTTGTAAAAGAGATTGTGATCTGATTGTCCCTGAGTGTATCCATTACTTTTAATTAACTTTGTGAATTGCTCAAACCAAGGTCTTGGTAGTCGTTTCAAACCATAAAGGGACTTCTTCAACCTAGATGTTATATTTTTTCCATAACCTTCTTCAAAACCCAGTGGTAGGTCCATAAATACCTCTTCCTCTAAGACTCCATTGAGGAAGGCATTTTTTACATCCATATGATGAAGAGGCCTGTCAAGATTAACTGCAAGAGATAGAAAAACTTTGATTGAGTTGAGCTTTGCCACTGGTGCAAAAGTTTCGGTATAGTCTACTCCATGAGTCTAAGTAAACCCTTTTGCAACCAGCCTTGACTTATGTCTTTCAACTGTCCCATCTGAATTGTATTTGATGGTAAAGACCCCGCAGGACCCTTTGCTTTTGGTAATTCCACCACTTCCAAAGTTCCATTTTTTTTTTTTTAGGCCTGCATTTCTTCAAGGACTGCTTTTTTTTTTTCCTACTCAGGTACCTCGAGAGCTTCATGAATATCTCTTGGCAACTTGATAGCTGATATTTTTTTGTAAGAGCTTGAAAACTTGAGGATAGATGACTATAAGATATAAAGTTTGCTAAGGGATGTTGAGTGCACGTTCTAGTACCTTTTCAAAGAGCAGTAGGCAAGTCCAAGTCATGTATCTCTACATCAAATGACTGTGGTTTACCTCTAGTTCAGATCCTTGACAGTGATCTTGAGGTGCAATAGTCTGTACATTTTGACGTATAGCTGCTCATCGAGTGTAAACACACACACGCACTTCAGGTGTTTTTTTGCTCAAGTGAATCTGCCCCTATTTCCAAATTATTAGGTTGTGATCTAATAGAACTAGGTTCAGATGGAATGGGAGGTAGCTGATTTGACTCAGCAGACTCGACAAACTTGATGGGTATAGGAAGTAACAAACTTGTGGATTCACCAACATCAATTTGAGAGGGTATTAGAGGAAGTTTATTATTTATAGCTAATTAGTTACTAGTTTCCTTGTAAATAATAGCTTGTTTTCTTATATCACTTGTATCCTTAATTAGCTTTGTACTATAAAGGAAAAGTACTACACACAAGAAAGATATTCAGCAAAAAGTTCAATCCATTAGCAATAGATTAGAACGTCTTGCTCTTTCTTGTTGTTACAGTTTTTCGATCATGGGAAAGCTCACCTCTGTTTAATCTTACAGCTTTGTATTCCGAAGTAGAATTTGCAACATGTGAACAATTTGTGTTTCTCAGTTCATATATTTTCTTGTTCATTTATGCCCTGTTTCATGTATCCCTCCACCATACGTTTCTCCTCTGTGCTATAATTGCAATTTTTTAGTATAGATGGAATATATGGGCTGCAAGTGAAATTAGAATTCATATCCTCTCCATTTGCTGAGTTAAGGGTACCTGGTCTTTAATTTCCTACTGAACCTGCCAAGAAAGGACGATGAGATGAGTATTTGAGACTAGAGATTCTTAATATGTCACAGTAGAAATATCTACTGTTTATCTTCATGATTTGTACTTGAAGTATAGTTATTCTTAATAAATATAATTTGTGTTAGGTCCAACAATGTATAAATTACGTTGGCAATTAAAAATGCTTATTTTGAATTTGTGATCTATAATTTTAATACAATAAAATATATTTTATTTAACTGAAAAATACATGTAGGTGTTATTTCTTCTGAATATGTCCGTGGAAAACAGACCGAGCTAAGTAATTCAAACAGCAAAGCCGCATCTGCTTTTTTACCTCCGATTCCTCGGAATGAAGGTGAGATCTTGCAGTCCTTCAACTTCAGAAGCTTGGTTTAACTGGAAAATATATGTAGGTATTATTTCTTCTAAACGTTTATGTGGAAAAGGGACAGAGCTAAGTAATTCAAGCAGCAAGGCCACATCTGCTTATATACATCTGATTCCTTGGAGTGAAGGTGAGATCTTGAAATCCTCCAACTTAAAAGGCTTCACATTCAGCAATCTTAAGGCAGCCACAAGAAACTGGGACATTTTATTAGGGGAAGGGGGTTTTGGTTCTGTTTTCAAGGGATGGGTTGATAAAAACTCACTTGAAGCTACAAAGCCTGGGGTTGGGATGGCGGTGGCTGTTAAGAGGCTAAACCAATATGGGTTTCAGGGTCACAAGGAATGGTTGGTATGTACGATTTTCACCGTAACTTCTCAACTTAATAAGGAAGCAAGGCAATTTTATTTTTATTTTTTAATTAGAAATCCATGTATTCACAGTTGAAAACATGTCATAGCATGGTCAAGACTCCCATGTACTTTGAAATTTGTTAAGCATATTTGTCAATTAATTTTATGTTATCTACTTCAATGGACTAATCTAATTGACATGGTCATTAATGCTTGTAATTTTAATGAAGGAGCAGTTATGATAGGAGGGACATGATGTGTATAAATTTGGTAAATATTCATATTGATGACAATTGACAAATGAATTATCCGAGTTTTTTGACTTCTTAAATAGTTAGTTTTTCATTATTGTTTGACGAGCAAGATATGGGGAGTAGACTCACATGCATGGAGATTTTGTTAAGCGTATCTGTCAAATAATTTTGAGTGATATGCACTTACGTATAGTAGCATTTGACAATTAAAGTCTGCAATTATAATATAGCCCAATCATTCTGCTCTGATGGCAATAACATGAATTAGCACTGTAGTTTGTTGTGTTTCACACTAAGATTATTTCCATTTCATTGATGAACTTTAGTTTTGGATTTTCAGGCAGAAGTCAACTATCTTGGGAAGCTGCGCCATCCTAACCTTGTGAAATTAATTGGTTACTGCTTGGAGGATGACCATAGACTTTTGGTTTATGAGTTCATGCCCAATGGGAGCATGGAGAATCATCTATTCAGGAGTGAGTTCAATGTAGCATTTTGTGTACCATAATATAATATATCAGTGCTTGTTGCTTGATGTTGAATTCTAGTTGACTCTAAAGTTTTTATTCGAAATAGGAGGTTCTTACTTCCAGCCACTTTCCTGGAACCTAAGAATGAAAATTGCTCTAGGTGCTGCAAGAGGACTTGCCTTTCTTCACTGTGCTGAGATAGGAGTAATATATCGAGACTTCAAGACTTCAAATGTCTTGCTTGACTCGGTAAGTATATCTTGCTTACTCTAGTCAGGAAAGATTTGCATTGTAGTGTTTATCACTTCATTAATTAAGCATGGTTTATATTCAAAGAACTTCTCAATGGTTAACATGTAATTTCATCGCTTGTACTTTTGATTGCAGAACTACAATGCAAAACTATCTGATTTCGGGTTGGCAAGGGATGGGCCAACTGGTGGTAAGAGTCACGTCTCAACTCGAGTCATGGGAACTTATGGATATGCTGCTCCCGAGTACATATCCACAGGTTCTAATATCATGCAGTTTCCTCCGTATTTCATTAATAGGTTAACCAAATTAATCATATGATGTATCCATGTTTGTTGACCTTGACCAATCTCCGAAGTTTGCCTGTCAAGTTATGCTTTCTGCATTTGTTATGGTCAATGAGAGTTGCTTGCTTCAGGTAATGCTCTCAAAAGTGTGCACCTACAAAAATCCGCAGGGTTGTATTATCTGGTTTCCCCAGGCCACCCCCATTATTTTTCTCAGCACAGCCTTCCCTTTTTCTTGAAATAGAGGAAAACAAAATACTTACCTCATTACTGTGGAGGCATGCAACCAGCTGGCAAAATATGTTAGCTCTCGTGCTTCTCCAGTTTCCATTCCCACTTTATTGAATTTTGCTTCACAAATGAGAGTTCATTAGTTTACTCAGGGGCGGACCCATGAACATAATTCAGTGAGGGCGAGGCAAAATTATGGGTTACAATTATAGACTATTATGGACTAAAATTTATGTGGGCTACTATGTAAATGTCAAAAACTAAAGGCCCAATGGGTGCAATTATGTAAAAATTATGGACTCACGTGGGCTACTTTGTAAATGTCAAAAATTAAAGGCTCAGTGGGTGATGGGTCTGCCCCTTTACTGGTTTTTGCTTTAATTTGCATTTGCAATAGTAATTCGGTAGTCAAATAATTAATGCTATCCTAACAAACTCCCTTTTTATTTTATGCTTTTGGGGAAGGCCAGGCCATTTATCTACCAAGAGTGATGTATACAGCTTTGGAGTGGTACTTTTAGAAATTTTATGTGGTAAGATAGCAATAGACAAGAGTCGGCCAAGCGGGAAACATAATTTGGTTGAATGGGCAAAACCTTACCTGATGGACAAACGTAGAATGTTGTGCATTCTAGACCCTTGTCTTGAAGGGCAGTTCTCAAAGGGCCAAGCCTTAAAGGCAACTACCCTTGCACATCGATGCCTATCCGCGAATTTCAAGTTTAGGCCAAACATGGACGAGATCGTAAATGCTTTAGAACAGGTTCAGGAACAGGTTTCAGGAGTTTAAGTGCACTTCAAAAATGATCACATTGTTGGGTTGTATGCTCGTGTAATATAGTTTTGCTGATGTAAAATAATAATTTTTATGATAAACAAATTGTGGTTTTTATTTATTTTTTATTACATTTATTTAATATTGAGTATGTGACTTAAAGTGCCATGATGACTTGTGAAAATATAAGTAGGATGCTTGCATTGAGAAGCAGTGCGACCCAACTTATATATTGATTATGAATAATTTGTTCTCAACTAATGCATAAAAGTTCACATTTTAATGAAAGGTTGGTATTCGCTACTCAAGTTCCTTATCATAGCAATAGTTAAATATGACGTTACTTTTATTATTATTATTTTTGAAAGGTAAATATGACGTTAATATACTTGAAGTGTTGAATTAATTACGTGTCGAGTTTAATTCTTAGCATGAGCTTGCGGATCATTAAATTTCACATGATGGTCGGGTATTTCATCTAAATTTCTTAATAGGATTGTGTATATTTTTTTCTTAGTTCAATGGATCTTTGATTCATCAAATGGGTTAGATTAATTTAATTGATCAAATATTTCAATAAGTCGGGGGCTTGGAAACGAGTGGGTAGAGAACATGAATTTGTATCGGAAGTAGCATCCCTAAAAAATGAGTAGAAATACTATTTTTAAGTATTTCATTGAATGTTATAGCAACAAGCTAATTATGTAAGGATTATCGTAATTTTGTTCTAGATTTTAATGAAAATCATTAAGTTTGTGAACAAAAGTTGTAAAAACTGATAAATGCAGTCTAAATTTATTACGGGTAAATATATGTAGGAGTTATTTCATTTGAATACTGTTGAGGGAAAAAGAACAATTTGTGTATAGATTATCAATTAACATAACAAATTAAATTAACAGAATTCAACAATAACATAAATATAAAAAGAAAGTTAGAAAGCAAGTCTTAGGGAGTCATGTAATGTACGCCATCCAAAAGTCATGTTGTTTTTCATTCGTGCGGGTACTTTCGATAATATACAATTCAAAGATAAAATTCATATAGCCCCATAGCCGATTCTTCTTTTGTTTACAAGACCACAAGGAGATAAAGAATAAGTTTTTATTGAGTTACCAAAAATATAATAATATAATCTGAAAATATAAAAAAGTATTTTATAAAGTTATCTTTTCAAGTTATGGTCAACACCATGAAAGTCACTCCCTTTTATAGGGACAAATTCAACACCCACATTTAGATCATTAAAATATAAGTTATAATATAAATTATGATGCTTTATTTGAAATTAAAATCTAACACACACACACACACACACACACATTTGACTTTAGTTTTGGCGATTTAAGATTTTTATGCTACAACGATCCCCACAAGTTTTAAACTTTCAAAATAAATAAATATCTAATGTATGTAGTGGCAACATTGCAATAGATGTAGGTATCTTTCTACTTAAACTTCACTTAGTGGTAACAATTTTCATTTTGAGTGAACCGTAATGAACTAAACCTTAACCTTGGATTAGGTCCTTAACCTTGGATTAGGTCCCTTTAGCCAAACTTCAATTGCCACATGTAGTATCGAATTTAAGTTTAGTTCAAAGCGGATAGCGTTGTTAAAAACAAAGTGCTCTTATCTTGATTCTAGTAAGAGTCTTTATGAAATAACCAATGCTATAGTCATGGCCTCGTGACAACTCTCAGATAGTCATTCCTCCAAGAATGTGTGTGACCTGCACCTCGTGGGAATTCTTGCATCGATACTCATTTAGGATTAAATCTTTCCTAACATCACAATTATTAATATTATCACCATAGGGATGAGCATAAATAATATAGTACTTTTATGAGTTACGCAATGCAGGTTGTTTCTACCATATCAAACCTTCTTCATGGAACTTCTAATCACAAAAATTGGATTACTCTCAAAGATAATTCTGTTATGGACTTAAGCCCATCCCTTTCAATAATTTGTATATGTCCATCACAGACTACAATTTATTAGTGTCCCTCCTGGATAACAATTTGGCACCATAATATTTGCAAGCTCTTATTTTCCACTTACACATTTGCAAAGTCTTATAAAGTTTTCAAAATGTTAATATCACATATTTAAGTATAATAAATTAAACACATGAAACTTAAATATTGACTTCTAGTAACATGTTCTATTAGATGCATCCATTTAGCTCCTGTAATTTACCTGCAGATCTATAATTTAATTTTTTAACACTTTCGAAAGTCAGTTTACAACTAAGAATAGTAAAATATATGTGATATGCCTATTTGAAAATTTAAACGCCTTCACATTTCAATGATATGATAATTCATTATCAAATAATATCTCAATCTCCATTTATCACAATATAATATGGATCTTTATAGTCAACTAAGACTAATCAACCATCACCGCATACCTCGACTTGTGTACACATGACATATGTGAGTAACTATATTAAATTATTGATTATTATCATTCGGGTCATCAAGTTGATGTTAATGGTCATATTATCACTCTTAAGGGCATATTCTATAGTTTACAGAGTATTTATAAATTTAGAGAGTGAAATTTTTTAAATAATCCGATAGGATCTTTCTATTTACACTTAATTTTACTATTCCCAAAAAATATTTATTATTTTTTTCATCTTTATTTTCACTAGCTTCTCTCCAAATTATAATGTTATTTTTTTCTATTGAAAATACTTTGAATGCATTTAATTACAAAGAGTGGGTAGACTCACTCTTTAAATTAAAATTTTTTTGAAAGGTCACTCTTTAAATTAAATTGTTAATTTAAAGACTTTCCTGGAGTATAATTTTAAGAATTGACTCTTTAAAATAGAGTATCTTATAATTAAGAATAACGTTGCTTGTACATAGCCCCCGTTTGGCCTCTATTAATTTTCATTTCATTTTTCTCTCCCCTATTTTCAACCACGCAATTTTTCATAAAATAATAATACACGTAAAAGAAAAAAATTTCATTCTTTTTCAACCACTCATTTTTTTTTAAAAAAAAAACACTATTTCCCCCATTATTATTTCTACAAAATGAGGGCCAAACAGGGGCAATGGAGTTATATAATGGTTTACATACAGATAAGATGTTAAAAAGACAATGGAAAAGGTTTTTTTTTTTTTTTTTATTTAGTTGAAGAAATGCTGACTTAATTATATCTCGCCACATCATAAGCCCTTGTTTGTTTCCCATTATTTATTCATTAAAATGAAAAATATGATCATTATCTATTACATCAAGTCACCATATTTGAAAATCTATCTCTTATGTGGGGCCTATAACGGCTATATTTTTCATTCACATTCTTATATTAATGTGGCTTAAACGGGGCCTAAGTATATAAATCATTGTGTAAATCATTATGAACATTTAGCACAATCATCATTTTCTAAAACCATGGTGAATTTAAGTTTTAATAGAAAGGTATACAATTCCAGTTAGAAGTTCCAAATTCTGAGCCCTACTACTTGAACAAGGCCACGTAGAAGTAGAATTTTTCCCAAATTCTTTACTTCCAAACACCACATTACCAAAACCACTGTCATGCACTTACTATTTGATGTGTTCTTCTTGGTCCCTTTTCCACTCTTCTCATTTATCCCACATTTGTTCTAGATCCTTTAGTACTTAAAATTTGAAATCTTATACAACTAGATCATTATCACACAAGCATGTCCTCGAGAATCGACAATTGCAAGTCATGCGTCTTTCAACGCAGACAACTGGTAGTATCAATAAACAAAATTGATGCATCAATTTGGAAGTCACATGGACCTTCAAAGTTCCCAACTATTGAGAAGAGACTAGTATAACTTGCTAATCGTCTAAAAAATGTAACCAACAAAAAATTGTTAATACTATATTAACCATATCAACTCAATCACATTTAAAAAAATCATTTATAACAAACTTAACAATTCAAATATTCAAACATTAGAATATACCTTTTTCGTACTTGACTAAGTTTTTTTAATCTTTATTCCCTACTACTATGAACCACATCAGGTCTACTATTACGTGGTTGATGCCTTCTAAAGCATCATGTTCTTTTAATACACTCAAAATCTTATCATGTCAAATATTATCGTGTTTAATTTATCATATTTATTAAGGTTAACTATAAATTTTGATTTCATAACCTATTTGATTTTAGAGACATTTTTAATTCCCAATCATTACCCATTTATGTACAAAAACCATTTTGCATTAACGTAAATTAATGTACATGTTACTTCAATGCTAGGCACAGAGTCGAATGTTCACTATGTTCCCAATAATCGTCCGCGTTCTATTATTTCACTATCATAGACTTAATTTCATAGCTCAAAATTTCATGAGTTCTAAGTTAGAATTACATTAATTCTTCTAACTTGAAAACTTTCACTCGGTGAATCAAATAGTTTTTCATTGTATTGGAAGAATGATGAATCATATTTTTTGTTTACTTTAATCCAAGACAATTAATTTAGTGTTTCATGATTTTTCTTGATTGGTTTCGCATTCTTATTGAACTATTTGATTGCTCGATCACCAATTAGATAGTAAGTTGCTTGTTGTAGTGTAGGAATACTCACAATATGTCGAGAACACGGCAAAATCAGCACATGGACAATAGGTATTAGGAATAATATTTATAACATGTGTAATTATGTGTGATAAATCCTGTGAATCAATGCATATTTCTCATTTGAATACGAACTAAAATTAGGATCGAGTCGTGTTAAACCTAAGTTTAATATATCTTGGGAAAGAGTATTGAATAAAAGTGGATTATGGATTGTCTTGAATGCATGAATTTACTAAATTATGAATTAAGAGTTGAATTAAATGATAATAGGGGAATTCACGATTCCAATACAAACATTTATATATTACATAAATATTTTATTTGTTTTTTCGTTTAGGATTAATATAGAACACATAAAAAGCAACTTTTTTGAATTTATATTATTTTGAATTTAGTAAAAGTTATTGAACTAGATATTCAACCTTATTCCTCATGAGAACGATACTCTTAACTCACAAATCGTATTACTTGTACAACAATCCCGTATGCATACGAATTTTCTACGAAAAAGTTTTTGACGCCGTTGTCGGGAA